TAGACCTGCACACCGGGAACTCTCGGGCTGTAATAAACTCATGCCGGCCTCGGTATGTCCTTGGCCGGGAAATGTCTAACCCAAATTGTGTTGAAAATTGCACGCAAGATCTGCAGGCCGTGCAGTTAACGGCCACTTTGAACTCTGCGGCCACGGTACATTTATGCCCACCTTAAATTCTAGTGACCTCTGGAGGAAATAAATGGCCGCGCAGTGTCCATTTGACATCGTTTCCTATCATCTGAGTGCCGCACTTACCTGACTGCAAAACCATTTCGCGGCCACACATTTATGCAAGTGCCCATTATTCATCTGGCCGGACAACCATCGTTCCGGCCATTTTCAAATGGTTGGCATGAGTTTCGGGCCATGTTTGTGAGTGACTAAATAATATCCCATCTGGCGGAGTCTGGTTGACAAGACTTCATGGCCAGAAAGTTGAACGTGCGCATGGCCATCGGGCGGACAGCACTGTCCAGGCCTGGCCGAGCACCTTCGCGCCACGCATCTGCAACCTTTTCGGGCAGTTCCACAGATGGCCTCATAATATCTGAGAATGTGCCGCTATCATAAACTTAGTAGATTACAAGGGTCCGCTATGAAGTGGCCTGCGTATATTCATGGCCGGAAATTTTACGAGCCTAAGTAATGCTTCCCGGCCAATGGCGGTGGCCAGGCGTTGACGGACGGCCACAGACATTGGGCCGTTGCAAGTATATCTTGTCCGCAGCATAGTCCACCGAATTCGGTGGACCACATGAAGGCCTACAGTGTAGTATACTAATATAGTAATACTTATTCATGAGTCCACAGAATTCGGTGGAGGCATATCATACATGTACATTGTATGCGTTCGGTGGATCATATTATAGGGTACTGTGTAACGGTACTATGTGGGTGTAAGTCCTTGTTATTTATCACACAAAGGGCATAAAATAATCGACAGCTGGTGATAACTAGCCACCTCTTCAAAATATCAAGGCGCCGCACGATCTCAGCTCTTCCATGCTCACTTGGTACAATAACGTTATGTTGGACAAGCCTGACAGTGTGCTCTCTGGAAGTTACTCATATGTAGACATACGTGATGTAGCACTCGCCCACGTCCTGGCCCTGGGAAAAGAGGAAGCGGCTGACCAGCGGATTATTGTTTCGGCGGGTGCTACTACCTGGCAAGAAACAAGTGCGGATCTTCAACATTTACTTTTACCTTGCCTGATGCTGAAGTGATTTTCAGGAAACCTAGTAAATGAACTTCATCCGCAGCTTCTCGAAGCTGGTATCACATTAAGGGGAAACCCTGACCTCCCAAAGAACATCGCATTCAAGTACGACTCCACGAAAGGAGATAAAATTCTCGGTGTCAACTACAGAGATTTCACGGATACCGTCAAGGACACATTAGCGGATTTCTTGAAGCGTGGGTGGTTGAAGGCGGATCCGAATGCCTCTGGCGGCGTACCCTCTGCCTACTAAAAAGATTTTGAAATGCCCCTCTAGTTTCAACTTTCTACGCTATTTCTACCAGTGGCTGTAGAATTCGAACCCAAAAATCCTACATATGTTACTTTTGTGTACATATATCCGTTGAATGTATAGTACGGAGATCGAAGCAAATATTGAACCTAAATTGAAATATCCGGTGCTAAGTACTTGAATAATATTTCGACATGTGTGACAGTTAATCGATAATTGAAGTATCACATGATCGTGACGCGTCGCGTTCTAGGCTTTCATTTCGAACATATACCAACAATATGATTCCAACTCACTACTCAACGCCCTCAACTACCATTATCATCCTATCCGCTGTTTGCTGTCTCAAACATTGCCTCAATTTTTCCTAATGGGCACCCCGAAGTACCCTAAGGTAGTCGGTGGGTCTCTGCTGCTGGTTTTATCATTGAGGAACTATCTGTTCTGATGCGACTTGCTGCAGGTTATGAACTCATAGCGGAGATCGGCGGCGGTGGATTTTCTACGTGAGTCTTCAATTCTCGCGACTGGGATTCAGGAGACTCTGGAGCTTCGGATAGCATCGTGAAGATATATGGAAGATGAACGGATGGGTGGGAGCGTGGCATAGGATCGAGTGGCATTTTTGAAATTTCCGCCTTGGCTACGAAGGTTCCAATGCGCAGACAGAGTCTGTCAGAATGTGTTCCGATACATTCAATTTGAATATTATCTTTCAGTCGTAACAACGCATTCACTAACTCGGCTCATCCATTCAGTGTCTACCGCGCAGTGAACATAGAGGAACATCGCGTTGCTGCTTGCAAGCTCGTCAAGCTTACAGAAGAGACCACCGATAAAGACCGCAAGAATGTCGAAAAAGAAATGCGCGTGCATGCCGCACTCAAGCAAGTGCATGTCCTCGAGTTCCTCAATGCCGTAGTCGTCGAACTAAAGCACAAGCTGCTATATGTGCCTGGAATATACATGCTGCTCGAATTTGCGGGAGGTGGGGATCTATTCGATAAGATTGCTGCGGATGTGGGCGTCGATGATGAGGTGGCACAAGTGTATTTTAACCAGCTGGTTGCTGGCATGGTACGTCGTCCTTTGGCTTCAATGGATGTTATCCAGACTTTCCGAGTTTCATAGTCGTATATTCACAGTCAAGGTGTCTGCCACCGTGACCTCAAACCGGAAAATATTCTCCTCGACGCTGCTGGAACGCTGAAGATCTCAGACTTCGGCCTTTCTGCTGTATTCAGATTGAAGGATTCCGGGAAGACGCGCATGTTATCCGAGAAGTGTGGTAGCTTGCCTTACGTAGCTCCTGAGGTACCTCACATCTCACTTCTTGGACGTTTGAGTGATTCACATGTTCGGCGGTATAGTTAAACAGCGATCATCCCTATCATGCTGAGCCCATCGATGTATGGGGCGTTGGCGTGATTTTATATACCCTTCTCGTTGGAAGTATGTGAATCTACGCCATCAGTTATGCGATACGAACTCACCCATAATCCAAACTAGATACCCCGTGGGACGAACCCACAGCCAGTAGCCCAGAGTTTGTGCGATACGTGAATGGAACAATATTTTTGGAACGTCCGTGGAACCGCATACCCTTTGAACCTCTATGTGCGTCGTGTGCTCCTTGTTGTAGATTGTCCGATTAACAGAGATCGATAGCTTTAGTAAAAGGGATGCTAACAGTTGATCCTACACAGCGATTGACTCTCGACGATATCGCCGCACATCCCTGGTGCATGCGGTGCGCTTGGTCCATTTTACTCTATCATTTTATTCTGATTTGAGGGTCCTACAGGCAGAGTCAACTTTCAAAACATGGGCCTGCTGAGCTCGCCAGTCGTCTCACGCGCCCCATACACGACAACGGCGACATGAATTTCTCAGCCCCCCCAACACTGGGCGGAAGCGGCGACATGGACGTGGAAGACGACGACACGATCATGCATTCGGCGACTAATCACCTATCGCAATTCACCCAGTCGCTCATGCTTTTCGTGCGCGCCTATTCCCCACTTTCAAATATTGGATGCTCACTGACCCATATGAACCCACATGCAGTCGCAAACGCAGTCTGGGGCACGCTACACGCCTTATCTTACGCGCTTCTACGCGGCCCTTGGCCCTGGCCTGCTCACAGGGCTGATCAAAGAAGCTTTAGAGGCCATGAACGTGAAGACAAAGCTTCTTCCCCCGGCTGTCACGTCAGATGGGGGAGGCGAGCTGCACCGCATCCGCGTGGGCGGTTGGGATAAACGACGCCAGATGTTCAAGGGATGGGTGGAGGTTGAGCGGTTTACGTACCGCGGTGCGGAGGGCAGCTTCTGCGTGATGCGGCGCGACGAAGGGAACCCGATCAGCTGGCGGCAGCTTTGGCGCGCAGTCATCGAATCCCAGCTTGTGGAGCCGCATGTACTGAAGAAATGAGGCCGAGGTGCGAGTCTTGGGCAGTTTCTAGGATTTCTATTTTGGAGCGAGCCCTAATCTGTTGGCGGCATGCCTATGTATATTTTGGATTGATTTGACATTATCTCTTCTCATTTGTATCACAGTATCGTGGATGTATCTAACTCTATCAGCCTATTTAAGAGTCACCAAATGTAGTATTGGTCAAAATCAATGATATTCGGCGGTACGCTGCTGGTCCTACTACTGAATATATACGTATTCACAAGTGCACGTCTTCTTTCAACTTTCAGCTTATTATTCCGACTCCTGAGCAAAAAAAAACTGGCCAGGTTCCGCTTTCTACCATAATCCGGGCTTTAGAGCGTTCAGTCACCAGTGACCTCAGTACTCAGTCGGAGTCAGTCCAGATCGCAGACTCCTCAGTCCAGAGACTCCAGGGACCATAATCCACTGTCCAGACTCCAGAGTAAGGCTCCAACCATATTATATGTGTATGTGACGAAAAGTGAAAATATACACATACAGTTAATAGTGTATATTATACTGTTTATATACAGTATACAGTAAAAAAATACAGTTAGAAGCAAGATAATTTTTAAGGCAGATTACCACCATTGTATAACTTCTGTCTGGTGGCTATAGCATATAGAGGAGTCAAACAGTCAACGAAAGAGCATAAAAATGCCAATGAACTTCATCATCCGGCCCATGCTCGGTCCATTCCGGCCACCGGACGATCGGATCAAATCTGACAAATCATGATTCATATGCCGCGAGCAGGTCCTGCCCCCTTCCCGCACACCCTTCGGTTGGATTTGCCTTCCCTTGCAGAAGGGAAAAGTACCATTGAAAAAAACCAGGCAGGGAGTGTGTATTTTGGAAGTATTATGGCAAGATTTGTAAGATATTTCATCAACTGTATGTAACACTATATATCATATCTATATGTGTATATCTGCACTTCGAGATTTTTGGCATACACATACACATATACATACAGAAAGAACCATATATATACACTATACATATAATATGGTTGGAGCCTTACTCCAGAGACCAAGTCCGACCGAAGAAAAAACGGAACTGACTCTTGCTCGGTCTTGCAATAATGATCCCCACCTGGATTGAACAGATGACCTTAGGGTGCTTCCTAGCTGGAATCCTACGCTCTACCACTGAGCCAGGGGACCATAGAAAAGAATGGAAAGGCACATCTCTGGGCACGCAATGCTTCCTGAAATTCATTGTCAAGTACTCAGAGACGATTCCCGTGCGACCTAGACAAAGTGCACGACAAAAGGCGGAAAGACCCCAAGACGTCCTGATCAGTTCGCCGTCATATTAGCATTTCCGTGCGTACATATGTCAGAATAAGTACCTCGGTTTCAACAGCGACTTGACGTCGAAAAGCCTACTTTTCGTCAATCCTTGTCGATTGCTTGCTCAATTCTTTTTGGTAAGTCCCTCGCGCTGCATTGACAGGTGGTCTGGGTATTCTCTAGGCTGAATAACTTCCGGAAGTGTAGCGTACATATTCACCGCTCAAGGGCAAACAAAAGAGGTGAGAAAAAGAGACTGGTGATTATCCGGAGAAAGAATAGAGCACAAATTTCTGGGGAGGGTTCGGATTGAAAATCTTTGCGCTGCTCGCGGCAGGCTCCCTGGTACGATGGCACATCGATATCATGGGTTTGGCCCATTTTACCTATCTGTACGCATCTATTATTGCATTGTGGATATACATTACTTTTCTTCCTTTTCAAGGAGGTGTGATCGAAAAGAAAAGGGTCATGATCCCCTGACGAAGTTCCGAGCAGGCCCGTCCCGTCTTAGGACACCAATGTTCGCTGCGGGGAATTTATCAATGCATTAGCACGCGGCATTTAAAGATGTCAGGGCAATTATTACCTGGCCTCCTCTCCCAGCCTTTTCCAGGCTGCTTTCCAGCTGTAAGGGCGAGCGTGCGATCTAGGAACTTCTCGATTTTCTTAGAAGGAAGGGTTGCAGGGATGGAAGGCTGGTTGGAGTTCGGCAGAGTTCGAATGGCACGAGAGCTACGATACGATATTAGAAACGAGTTTATTCTCAAAAGAATATCTAGAGTTACGCACCCAACGACGATATCCTTGGTACCTGAGGCCTTTCGCTTCTTAGCGGGAGGGTTCGTCCGTTCAGCCTCCAGTTCGGCTTCAGGTTTTCGCTTGGGTTGTGGGGCGAAAGCAGCGGCGAAGAGCTCTTCGGGCAGATGTTCTGGGTTGAACTTGATCTTCGTAGATTTCGGGGGTAAAACATCTTCCTCGTTACTGTCGTCTTCATCCTCCGAGTCGTCCTCGCTACTACTGTCGCCGTTGTCCTCACTATCGTCTTCACCGCTTCCTGATTGCTGGTCGCCGAGTTTGATACCACCGAATTCCTCATACTCCTGCTCGTCGTCGCTCTCCTCCTCGCCGGACTCCTCGTTTGCCTCCGCCATCGCGCGCTCCATGCGCGCCTCCAAGTCGTCCACCTCCTCTTCCGCCTTGCCCTTCCCCTTGCCGCCAGCCATCGCAGGCGCCGCCGCCTCCCTGTTCTTCTCCGCGCGCTCCTTCAGTTTTCGATCCTTCTCGCGATTCAGCGCACGCTTGCTCTCGCGCTCGGCGAGCTCCGCATTTTTGCGGTGGGCGTCGAGCTGCTGGATCTGCTTTTTCGACTGCGAGAGAGAAACTGCTTCCGGGGCGTCGGAGTCTGAGTCGGAACCGCTGGCATGATGCTGTTGGGAGGCGCGCGTGCGAGGTGCCATGTTTTAGAGGAATCGATCAGGAACTGGAAGGGAGGCCGCAGATTTGACTTTTTGGAGAGCGTGAGAACCTTCCCTGTTCGACGCGCGATGCAGTGCAACATCGTAAGCAGCGAAAGACTATCTACTCGGAAGGCCCGATAGAAATATGCGAACTCATTACTTTAAAGGAACCATTGTAGAGTTTTTTTCATCTCTTCATAAATCTCAGAGTACCGTACCAAGACTTTATCGACTTGGATGCCTTTTCAAAGACTGAATGGATTTTTCAGACGTCGGCTAATTATAAGTCGGGTATGGTGTAACGGCTAACATTGCCGCCTCTCATTTCCTTTGTGAGTGTCGCGGCAGCTCGGGGTTCGATTCCCCGTACCCGAATCAAGTCATAATTGTTTTCGCATGTTTTTACTTTGCAGGTGAGTAGGCTAGACTAATAGGCTGACAGCAGCCACCCGTAAGTATACTAAGTAATAAGATTATTTGAAAGCCAATCATCTCAAATAAGTCTTGATATAAAACACTTTTAACGCTAACTAATTACACTCTGTTTTCTCCAACAAAATCGAGAGACCGACTTTCTTTCTTTAACTCGGTGAATGCTGTTCCTCCTGAGGCACCGCTCCCAGTCTCTGTTCTATTCAGGTTGATCTCGTCCACCCGGTGTGAATTAATCCTACTGTCCGCGATGGTAGATGGTTCATTTATTCGCTGTCTAATTCGGAACACCCCTGAATTGACGTTCCGGTAGATTCGACTTGCCATGATGTTCATGATCACGATACATGGGAATCCCATGATAACGCGATAGGCTGCTGGGACAGAATTGACGTAGAGCAAAGAAACGGTAGTGATGTTGATCACGACGGTGCTCCTATAGCTGCTGGTTAGATCGAAGTATATTCTGTAATAGTATCATGGTTTACTGACAAGAAATATGCCTGGCCATTTTGAAACAAGGCTCTTGAGAGACGCGTGAGATGTTTCCCAGTAACGACGGCCTTTAAATCTCTATCTTCCTGATTTTCGACGTAAGCGGACTGCTGGAGACGCCATGCCAGAGCGAGGAATAAAAGGGTGTCGTTGACGAGAGGGATAATTGCGCTTGCGCCCACATACTTTGGGATCATGGTTCCAATGCAGTATTTCGTCCGGCCGATGTTGAGATAGGGAGCAACGGTGAACGCTGCAATTACGGGAGTTGAAGAACTACCAACTGCGCTGATCCACATGGCGTAGAAGAAATAGACTACACGCTTTTTGTCCGTGTATACTGCTCGGACGTGCAAAAGAAGTAGAAGCTCTGAGCACGATACGGAGATGGGGTAGAACCAGTCGATAACCTTATTAGTGGACTGTCCGCAATTTCCGATTGGCGCAGCTTTATAGTAATATAAGTTATCAGGAAACCATGATGGCGAACGGATGACGTACTGTTCATGACCGTAAATCCCAGCATATATGTCAAAGTTGCTACTCTGGGGACTCGAAATCAACTTTGCTATCATTTTTTAAATGAAGGAATATGTAAATACCGTGAAATAAAGTAAACGGCCATAGCAAGATGTATTTTGTTTCTTCTTACAAGACGATAGTCATCAATTACATGACCGAGGGTATCCCATATTTGAACCTAGTGGACAAAGAAACCCACATTAATAATGCAATTTTCACAGCTCAAATGCAGTAGTCATAGGATAAATACTTACCGCTGTAATGGCTATCGCTACATATGTGGATATGGTGAACTGAACTGCGATATCCGGAGGCAAAAAAGCCATGGGCGTGAAAGGATTCGGCAGCAGAGCCAGTGGATTCGGAGGTGCCAGAGGCATTGATCCTGAAGCTGAAGTTACATTCATTTTAAATGAAGATGGGGGAAGAACACGAAGGCGTCAAGCGCTGTCGATAAATATTTGAATGAGCAATGCACTCCTTCCTTTATACAGAATTTATAATGAAATATCATTATAATGTGATATTCGCCATCTGCTATGCTGTCTAACCTTAGAATAGTTATCTGCTTTCCGGCTCGGGAATCACTTTGTAATTGGTAAATATAGACGGATTATATTACCATTTCAGGAAGAATCTAAAGTAGATGGATTTAGTACATTGAACAAGAATTGGCAACGTCTGACATTATCGCATGATGTGGGAGCTTATTATACTCAAGTATTATGACCACCGGTTGACCAGATACAAGTCTTCTGGGTTAACTAGAAGTTGAGTAAAGCGACGGAAGCATATAATTATTACAAGACGCTGCTTGACTGTATTGGTTAGATTACATAAATAGAACGCCAACAAATAGTGGCTGCGTTCGAGGGAAAAATACAATGATATTGGGGCCTCCGAGCCCCCTGAGATACCTGGAAGTATATGATTCAACACAGCTTGATTGAAAGCATCAAGATAATTACTCCTCCGTAGATGAATTGATCATGATCAGATAATAGTTTCTTGCCAAGGGAATATACTGTGATTAAGAAATGCTTATCTGGGCCAATTGAGAAAAAGTGTTCAAAATGGCCTAGGGTGAATATAATCTTTGAGTTCGAGTAATGGCAAAAGAGCTGCCTCGGTGCTCTACTGTATTGTTTATATTAGATAAGACGCTCACAAATAATTGCGGCATTCAAAGGAAAATTGCAGTGATCTCAGGACTTAGCCCGAGCAAGCTCAGAAATGACAGGCAGCACCTGATTCGAAGCGTCAGGATCGAAAGCATCAAGACGATTGCGCCTCCGAAGATGATTTAATGATGATCAAATGAGTAACAGTTTCTATTTAAAGGGATTTACTGTGCAGTGTGAGTAAATAAGAGTCGTCTGGGCATACTATAGGCTTTATTCCCGCCCAAAATTGTTGTAGGGAACTGCGGAGAGCTGCGGTGCTGTGGCGCTATCTTGTCGCCGTTGTCTACGTATAAGCCCTGTACGAGTATTAAGCAGTCGAGGAATTTTTTAAAATCACCACTAAACAATCGCAGCACACTACTGTCATAGGCGCCTGTACTACTTAATGCATTAATGTCTGGAAAGGACGCTGAGGGCCCGGTACTACGTCGTGGTCTTAACCAACACCCACACTCCAAATATCACTCGCGATGGGAGTTGGTGGTGTGGCGTATCAGCGCTCGAGTTGCCGAAATACGGTAATTCGCTTCGCCTGAAGATCTACTGTTTTCGGTATTCTCGTTTACCTGAGCCGAGCGAGGGTAGGAGTATGCTTCCTGCGTGGCAAGCAGGCATGTATACAACTTCATCAAAAAATATTTCTCGCTGTGAGATTCGTGCTGCTATCTACACAAATGCCAGTTGCGCGCCCGAGCCTCGACCAAGATCTTGTTCCTTCGCATTTGCATACTTTTCCTGACAAATCATAGGGCGGGTTTATTTCTTTGCAGCCGAAGCGCCAAAGGACACCTTCAGAGGGGACATGCGAATATATTGCGAATTGTTCAAACAAAGAAGCGTTTCTTTCGTGAAGTCTATTCCAGCGGCCGAAATATACTTTTGATACGGGGCATGGGAAACATTTCCCCGTACTTCTGTGCGCTGGCTATCTCATGCATGATACTTATACTCATTACCAACATCCGCATTGACATATCCACCTGCAGCCAGGTTTTCGAGAGCTGTCGCGCATGTATCTCAAGGTCGCTAGCGCTTGAATTCAAAGCCTTAAATTCTTCCAAGTCCATCACCTGTGACAGTCAGCGAACTTAGATATGAAAAGAGGTGAACTATACATACCTTGTTGTATAATATGCACATGAAAGTTGCAGGAACATCAACATCCGCCAACGTGTTCGCGATTGAGTTTTGGCTCAATGTACATAGGCGTGTATCGATGCGACCGACGTTGCTATTGAATCCACCAGTAGTTGGCTCAGCCGCGCTGTTTCTCTCATGGATCCAACATGAGGCGCCGCGGGCCTTTTTATTGCAGGCCTCAAGACCATATCTCGCTCGCTGAGAGGCTGATTTTGGCAGTCAAGGGATCCGATCAGTTTGCAGGCGAGATTTTCTAGAGGAGGGCCAGCGAAATGAAAGCTATCTTCAAGTCGAGACCGTTGGGAGACCGACTTGAAACTTCGCCAGGCCGTTAACCGGTAAGATTCTTCGCTGTCAATTAGAAATCAAAAAGTCATAACACATCGTGAATTTTCAGGAAAAAGAGTTTAGATATACAAGGAGCGAGTTCGTCGTGAGTAGATATGACTGGCTCTTTGGGCGAGACAAAGGCAAGCCGCTGACCGTCACCGATATCAACCTATTTTGGTCAGGCACATGTTTTGATAACCCCTTGTGGAATGTTCAAGAATAGCGCACGGACCTCCTTTTCTCTTTGCCTCTTTCTTCCATCCACCATTCAAAGCGAATCCGCAACCATGAAGGCTTGAGTTGCTGCGGTCCATTGGACCCTCTTCTCATTCACTACTACCTCATCTTAGATAGAGGAATCATGGACACTACAGAATATGCTCAACAAGAAGAGATAACTGCATTGCAATCAATATACGGCGACGATTTTATTGAATGCCCCCCGCCCAAGGCCTGGAAGGTGTGCGTGGTCTCGTAGTTGTTGCATCCCATTGAAATCATTGTTAGGGCGCTGCGCGACTCTATGAATTCATTGTGCGCGTGAGCCACCCGGAGCCGGAACATGCATCCAAGGTCTCCTTCGATTTGCACGTAAAGTGAGTATGACGGAATGCTTTTCAGCCTTATCTCATATCTGCAGGTTCCCTAAGACATACCCCACCCTAACATGTCCGACATTCACCGTCGACAAACCGATCAACGGCATCACAGACGCGCAGGCAGCCACTCTGCTTCGCAGCATCAACGTGGAGGCGCAACGATTTAAAGGGAGCGAAATGGTCTTCGACGTGCGTCGTCACTCTGTATACCAAATATTAGCCCCTGACACCTTATAGATTGTGGGCTTTGCTCAGGAGTGGTTGCGCATCAATATCATCCCGCCAGTCGAAGTTTTGGGTTCCCTCGCGGTCCAGATGAACCAACGTGCCGTTGAAGAGGCACGCGAACGCGAACGCATCGAGCAAGAAGAAGCGCAGAGGCAGAAACAGATCGCGATGATGGAAGCTGCCGCACTTGAGTACGAGATCCACGCTGCGAAAGAGCACGCCCAGAGATCTAGGCGCCGGGCCAACTCCGAGTCAACTGAGGTGCCCGATATCTACGGGTACGATGACGAAGCAGATGGCTTGACGGAATCATTCGATGAGATAGCGCTCGACAATGGGGCGCGATTTACGACTGTGAGGGTTTATCAGCCCCGTGCAGGTATGTGGCGTGCCACTCTCTATACCCTATGCTGAACATATGTAGGTTATCTTGGGACGCTATACA